AGAGAGAGAGAGAGAAATCATTATTTACTAACTGAGAGAGAAACTTTTAAAAGAAACAAAAGAGCAAAAAAAAACTGGTCGCGTAGGTTTATTCTTGTCTAAAGTGTCGGCACTTTTTGCAACTGTTCATGAATTACCGATAAAATTTGTCTTGTCTGTCCATTCATGTCATCCTCCTGGAAGAAGGTTGCCGACAGCCTTGGGAGTCGATAGCCGAAGCGAGACCGACCGAGTCTCCCGAAGAGAGACCTTGACTTTCGTATGTCAGTAATCGCTCGACCTCGCTCGTCGGCCAGATGGGAGAAGAAATAAGGAATCGACCAGCCGACGAGAATGCCGTGATGTCAAGTGCGATGAACTCGACAACGGCAGTCCGTCCAAAGCAAAATCCGATCGTCCAACAATTCTCTCAAATACCCGGAGAGTTCATCATCCATAATTATCCCGGTTTGATTTTTTTACATATAATTGAATAAATCTATCTAAATATATGTTGAGGGCATGAGACAATTTTTTTTCATCCACTTATAATTCCTGTTTCAATAAATAAGTAAAATATAATGAAGACACAAATCGTGATATTCTGTTCTGTGTAATTCCGTATATATTTACAAAATAAAATTCCATCGTAAAAACATTAATTTAATATAATTTGAGTGTAATTAAAGTTCTATTTTCACGAATATTCACGATCGAATTCGAGAATATTAACGCCGCGTCGTCCTACGTCGTCGCACGAATGTGGACCGGCGTCGCCGTCGCGACGCTACTCGCGGTTAATTTTGATACCCGTGTCCCGCGTGCCACGTCATCGGAATCGTTGTAAACAAGAAGCCTCGCACAGCACCAACTTATTTTCAGCGAAGCCGATAACCGCGTTTTATATATATATGCGCAACCACCTGAAATTGGCATAGCGTGCGATCAAATCTCTGTCTATTTATTGACTCGGATCGATTTGTCCTCGTCGAACTATTATATCGTCTCGATATTTGCGTAGGAATATCCTACGCGAGATCCGCGTCGAAATGGTAAGACTAGACCATCCTTCACGAAGAATCGCGAAAGCGAAATCGCTCGGCAAAGAAAGAAAAACAGTTAGAGAGACTCGCGTTAAGAACTTCGAGGCGACAAAGTCATTAATGAGCAGTAATCGGCCAACGTGCGATTAATCACTCCGTCGTGTTAATCCCCGCCGAGTAATTAATCTCGCGGCGGAGAAGATAGAAAAGGATTCGCGTAATGAGTGCCGCAGCACGGAGTTCGCGAAGTGTATCTTAAATGTTGAACGGCCCTCGCCCTCGTCGTAACAACATAATACAATACCGCCACCAACACCGCCGTAACGCTACAATATTCGTGATCGTGCGCTGAAATTCCGCTCGTC